ATCCATACGAAGGAGAATCCAGCAGACATGTTAACAAATGTGGTCACTCAAGAAAAGTTAGAGTTGTGCAGAGACATAGTTGGAATAACTTTCAAATAATAGCTGCGTTGGAATGCAGCTAAAGGGGGAGAATTGATAAGTTCAGCTGCTGCCAACTACCAATTCTATAAGCCCACCATTGTTGAAGCCACCAACCCATTCTAGAAGCCTCCATTGTTGAAGCCTCCATTGTTGAATGAAGAATTCAACCACCAACCACCTTCTTTAAGCCTATAAATAGAGCCTTATGTTTTACACAGAAACATCAATCCAGAGAGATTGAAATACAATCCAGGAAGAGATCGTGAGAACAAAAAGAGAGTTTGGTGAGGTTTTTTGTAGAGAGAAATTCTTGGCGTAAATTCTCTATAATTCTATTGTTGTAAAATAGAGTTGTTTTTCCTCCGAAATAATCTTGATATTGATGCGAGAATCACAACAGCAGCGCCAAAACAACTCCTCATCAAATCAACTGCATCCACAATCTCCAGAAACCCACTACCACCTTTCATGTCATTTTCATTGTTATCACAAAATCTTGGGGCGAACTTGTCTCTTTTTTCCTCTTCTTAATATCTTCCTTTCTAATTTGTTTATTTCTTCTTCTTCTTCTTCTTCTTAATCTTCTCTAGATCTCCGCCAAAGGTTTCCATTTCACAATCTGGATTCCACATAACTGTTTTGTTTTCTGAGCCAGTAGTATGGCTTTAGTTGAGGAATTTTTGGATATATTTGGAAGATCAACGATAGGGGCAATATTTGTAGAGATGGTGTTTTGCCTAGGTCCAGTTTGGATCGCCTTTTTTGTTGGTATCGTAGTAGGATGGTTTTGGAAACCCAAATGGGCTACCTTGGGGAACCGTAAATTTGATTTTTCAATGCCTTCTTCGCCTACTGCTTTGGTTCTTTCTCCGTCAAATAGCTCAGAGAATGAACACTTTGCATCATCCCCCCAATATGATTCTGCGAAGAGCCGGTAAGTTCTTTTTCATTAACTAGTACGTACTTTTTTTCTTTTTGTTGGATTTAAATAATCTACAGCATATTTTGCAGGTTACTTGATTCAAAGTATTTGTTATAGTGAGTTACACGTCAGTGTATTGAAGTTAAATAAAATTTAAATAAATTCAATTTGAAGCTTTCTGTTTGTTTTTGGTGTGTAGTGAATGTTGCCTAATAATTACTGAAGATGCCAATTAAGAATGACTTGAGCAAGACTTTTGTGTAGATTTTATGTGGGCATTTTTCATTTCTTTGTTTTGCTTTTTTTGTCTAGTCCACTGCAGCAGAACAAGTTTGAGAATTTAACAGTAACGGATGAAGATTTTGAGCATTTGTTTCAGCTTGTTGAGAAGAAAGATGGAGGACCCCCTTGGAAGCATATGATGGATCGTTCAGTCCCTCATATGAGCTACCAAGCTTGGCAAAGAGATCCAGAGGTAGCTAATCATTTGAACGTCATTATGTTTCTTTTCATTTTTGCCTGAATTGCTAATTGGTCTCTTTATTGTTTGGTCAGACTGGTCCACCTCAATATTGCAGCAGAACTGTGTATGAGGATGCAACACCTGAGTTGTTGAGGGACTTCTTCTGGGATGATGAGTTTCGACTGAAGTGGGATGACATGATTGTAAATGCTGAGACAATCGAAGAATGCCCCACAACCGGAACGATGGTAGTACACTGGGTGCGAAAGGTAAAAGGAAGCTGTTATAAACGCAGTATTCTATTAAGCTTGGAGTACTTACTTTATCAAATGCTCCTTGTGCAGTTTCCATTCTTCTGCAGTGATAGAGAATATATAATTGGCCGTCGAATATGGGATTCAGGGAGGTCATATTATTGTGTAACAAAGGTACAATACTCATTCTCTTCTTGTCTTAGTGTCAGAGCAGCATTCTGAGTTGAGCTTCATTTATGCTTATTGCTAGCTCAAGCTGCTTTGTATGATTTAGCTCAAACTAGGTTATTCATGACAGGGTCTTTTCTTGGTTTTCTCTCATAAAGCGTCTGGAAGTTGGGAAATAAGATGGACATTTAGGACAACTATTTTCCATCATGGATTAGTTTCTCCAGAGTTCACTAACAATTAGATGTACATAAAACCCATAAGAACTAACTCAATGATGGATTAGAATAATTTTTGCTAGGACTTCATAATAGGCAAGAGGCAGCTATTTGTTTCTTTGTTCTAGGGACTGAGCTCTGGTGGCATTGAAGCCTAAAATGGTGCTTGAAAGAAAGCTACCATATTTCATGGAGTTGCAGGACCATGTGAAATGGAATAGTAACTAAGGAATTTTCATGAAGAATGCAACTGAACACTTTACCTTGTGTGATTTTTTCACTTTCACCGCCTTTCCCTTTTTCTTGACTATGCTGTTACAATATATGGAAGGTGGATGACGGTCTGGAGAGGCATATAAAAGATAAAAAAATATATTTCTCACCTCAAACCCTAAAGACCTTTAACATGTGAGGCTTTTGTTTCTCACATTATATTGCCCTCATCTTTCTTTTCAACGTGTTTCAAGCTGCTTCCTAACCCCGCAATGTGATAACCGATGCATGACTTTCCACAAGCTTTTGTTCCTAGTTTTATGTCTCTCCCACTTTATATTTATGTTAATTATTCTGTATTTTGAGGTCCTCTTTGGGTATTGATTTGCCTTCTGATTGTGTACCAGGGAGTGCCATGCCCTTCTATTCCCAGGAAGGACAAACCAAGACGAGTTGACCTGTATTATTCAAGTTGGTATATTGGAGAAGGTACAACCACTTTAGCATCTTCTTGCTTCTCTTCCCCCCTCCCCNCCCCCCCCTTTTTTTTTGTGGGGTGTGGGCAATGTTTCCGATGCATTTGCCTCCCTAATAACCAACCTATATCCATGAATCAGAACAAGCATGCACTTTCTCCTTGGATTGTGACAGGTGAATGATGGGATTGACATGTATTCCTTATCAAACTTCAAAATTATAACTTTGAACGAGTATTACTAACTAGAGTTTGCTTGTTATAAGTCATAGTATGTTGAGTCCAATTTCCCTTTTCTAAGATACTTGCATTACGGTGCATGAAACAGTGGAATCAAGTAGAGGTAACAGCCAGCCGACGGCATGTGAAGTGATTCTATTCCATCATGAAGATATGGGCATCCCATGGGAAATTGCAAAATTTGGGGTAAAGCAAGGTATGTGGGGAGCTGTGAGGAAGATTGAGCGGGGATTCCGTGCCTACCAGAAAGCTAAAGCATCTGGCTTGAAAATATCTCATTGTGCTTTTATGGCTAGAGTTAATACAAAAATTGATCGAGAATACTTGAAGTCAATGGAAGATGATGAGGACTCATCTGAAACTGAATTGCAAGCTTCACCTGCAAAACCTGAGGGCATGAACATACCAAAGCTGATTATCATTGGTGGAGCTGTGGCAGTTGCTTGTACCCTTAATCAAGGAATCTTACCCAAGGTGCTTTTGTTTAATGCTGTGAAAAGGTTTGGAAATATAGGAAGGAGAGCATGTCCAAGGACATGACATTTGATTCATGCGTGCATTGCGCATTTGTTTTTTCCCTGTTTAAGCATTCACTTTTAAGCTCTTTATATATTTAAAACAAGCAAGTGTTATTTTGTCCAAGCGAGCCTGCTGTTGTCATCGTTTGTGCTCTATCAAGTGATATCATACGCTGAAAATTTAAAGAAAGATACAAAATGAAAAAGAACTAGATATCTCAATACATGTATTAGACGAGTAAAACGGCAAAAAAATCCATTTTCATCAATGAAGTTCCCCGTTCTGTTAGATTCTATTACTGACATTGCATAACAAAGACAAAGTATAGTATGCTTTACACCTGTAATTTAGAGGTATTACTTTCAATTTTGTAAGGGGAAATTGCTGAGCTCACAAAATTTGAAGGGGCTTTGGCTATACAAAGGCGTACAAACCCCACTCACCGTACGTCCTGCGATTCAGTCCCAACCATGGGTAAAAACACTAAACAGTTATTTTAACTCTGTTCGCTCAACCTAAGGGAAAAGGCATA